GTATAAGCCTGATTTGTGTGTACAGACCCCAGACCCCCTGGAGACAGCATCTCCCAAGTCCAGGCATTTAGTGACCTCCTAGAGGACTGTCTGTCCAATATTAGCCTCCCCAATTCGGCGATTGTACTTGCAGGAGACTTGAATGCTCGCCACTCTGACTGGTCTCCTAGTGACACCACGAATCGTGCTGGAAGGGAGTTCCGTAACCTCTTCTCTTGTTTTGGCCTTGAGCAAATGGTGACATTCCCCACACACTTTACCCCCCCCCCCACGGCTCAACATCGTGTATTGACGTTGTACTCACGGATCATCCTCACCTACTACTCTCTGTTACATCTGTTGCTCCTCTTGGTGCATCTGACCACGCACAGATCCTCAGTCATTTCCTACTGCCTACTGATGCTGTTTACCGTGAGGAACCTGCTGCAAGCGGACATCCCGCTGCTGCACCCCGAAGCCACTTCAGCAATGTTCCTGCAAAGCCGGAATATGACTTTAAATCCGTGCCATCTTCCGTCTGGGATAGTGTGAATGCAGAGCTCTCTGATATTGACTGGAGCTGGCACCTGCGTGCCAGCAACGTCGATGATGCGCTTTCACACTTTTCTTCCATTCTCAACAGTGCCCTTGAGAAGCACCTCTGGCCATTCGGAAAGCAGCCGTATTCTCACCGCTGCCCACGGCCCAGTCAGCCACCCTGGGTTGATGCCCATCTCCGCACAGCAATCAAGTGGAAATATGATCTCTATAGCATTTTTAGGAAGTACCCAACACAACAAAACAAACAAGCATACCAACAGCAGCGAAATATAGTGAAAACCCTGACGCGGACAAAGTACAGAGCTTATATCCGCTCAATGAAAACTACTTTGCAGGGTAGACACCGTCCATCGCTTCACCAGTTTGTGAGACAAGCAAGAATTCGAAACGTATCACGGGAAATTCCGTCACTCACAACAGGGACTCAGCAGGCGGCTGACCCTTTGGCCAAAGCTACGGCATTAAACGCCCAGTTTGCCTCTGTGACTCGGCCAGATGACCCGTTGCTCTCTATTCCCCCTATTCTCACCCCCTCGGAGCCCTCAGCTTGTTTCACGTCCGTCATCACCACAACTGCCACTGTCCGGCGTCATCTAAAGAAGCTTCCGACGTGCAAGGCGTCTGGTCCTGACGGCATCCCCAACCGGGTCCTCAAGGCCCTGGCACCATCCATAGCATTCCCTTTGTGCCATATTTTCAACATGTCATTTACCACGGGCATATTCCCTTCCGCATGGAAAACAGCGAAAGTCATACCTGTATTCAAGAAAGGTTCCCGCCACGAACCTGCAAACTACCGCCCTATCTCTCTTCTTCCCTGCGTGTCCAAAGTATGTGAACGCATCTTTTATGACCACTTATACAGACATGTTTCGCCGTTTCTGAGTCCCGCACAATCTGGGTTTCGTAAAGGCGACTCCACCTCTCTTCAACTGACCCGCATCGTGCAGCAGGTGTGCCAGCATAGGGATAACAGAGCGCTTGCTGGCATTTGCTTCTTTGACTTGGCCAAGGCTTTTGATACCGTCTGGCATCGAGGACTTTTGGCAAAGCTCGAGCATGCATTCAGGGTACGCAAACAGCCACTCTCCTGGCTGAAATCTTATCTCTCTGGGCGTTATCAGTACGTAACTGTGCTTGGCACATCCTCGGCTGCAGAGCCAGTATTGTCGGGCGTTCCTCAAGGATCAATTCTTGGTCCCCTACTATTTATAATTTACGTAAACGACTTACCTGCAGTCTTCCCTGGAACGTCTCTGTTTGCTGACGACACGACCCTTCTCACCTCATCAGCTTCCCTCACTGGCCTGAAAAACAACTTGCGTGCTGGCATTCAGGAAGTTCTTTCCTGGATGTCGTCCTGGAGGTTGTCCCCAAATCTATCAAAAACAAAGATCATGCTCTTCCCGCCCCAGCCGGAGTTCACAGCCCTCATCCATGCCAACTTTCCAAATCCAATTGACATAGTGTCTTCTCACAAACACCTTGGCATTGTGATTGACTCTGCACTCTCTTGGGTACCTCACATCGAATATATCTGTAAAAAATCAAGTAAATCCTTAGGAATTCTCTCCCCCCACTGCTCCTACCTCCCACTTTCTTGCAAGCTTCTTTTTTATTTCGCCTACCTTCGCCCAATATTTCATTATGCAGATACGTCTTGGGTTGGGTTATCCTCTTCCGCTGCTGCAAAGCTTGAAATACATCACAAGAAAATCCTTAAAATTATCCTCCGTCAACCCCGCATGCTCTCATCATCCGCCCTTTATAAAATCGCTCACACAACCCCGTTATCACATGGACGCAGTGCACACCTGGCTTCTCTTGTCCATTCTATTAAGCTTGAGTTGTGCCCACCTCATCTCATGTGTTTTAATTGGTTCTCTTCTCTAAGAACTAGAAACGCGCTCTTACTCCCTAAGTGTAACTCATCCACTCTTTTGCGCTCCCCTCTCTTTATTGCTTATTCTGTTTGGCTCACTCTACCCAGAGAAGTTAAGGACCTGACCTCACTCCGCCTGTTTAAGATCCGTGCCGCCCCTTATTTACTACGACATGCATAGCTCATTATCCACATGTCCTTTGCGTCTCTGTGTTTTTCACTGTTTTTATTTGACATAACTGTCGTTGATTGCAGACTTAGTAATGGCGAACACTGACTGACATGCGCGCACACGCACACATGCACAAACACACACATGCACATACACCCACAACCTCACACAACCGCACATACACACACGTGCATACACACACACACACACACACACACACACACACACACACACACACACACACACACATGCACACACACGAACACACACTGCCGCTCCAACATGCCCGCAAGAATGCATGGACACATTTCTCTAAAGAAATGTTCGCCATATTTTAGCCCGCACTCATGCAAGGTTCAACCTTGATCATTGCTTTTCCATTTTATGTACGTAGAGTATAACCTGTCTCGGCGACCACCTGACTCAGAAGACCACTGCAACTAGGACCCAGGGATGCAGTCAAATGACCCTGGATAAGAAGACCACCTGGTAACAGAGACCACATTTTGCAGGTCCCTTGAGCGGCAGTCGTCTTAAGACAGGCTGCACTGTACATGTATAAGGTCTGAGTGTGTAAAGTATAAAGTATATGCATGCAACGTTGTGCAGTTTTAGACGGTCATTACGATTTGTGTGTAGATAAGAACCGACCTCTGCTGGTGTGTCTGTGTCTTGGGATTGGTGTTCAACCTCTTCCAAATATGTCAGGATGGAGCTGAATAGTGGACAGATACGTTCACCAGCAAAAATATATACACACACACGCACACACACACGTACACACGCGTGCAGGAACACACACACACATTGTCAGTTTTGTGCCATTTTGTCGCACTCGCTGGCTGTATGTCACCTGGTTATGTTGGTGGATACTGTTAGTGAAAACTCGTATCTTTTTGTCCTTCTCCTTTTTTTACCATTATCGTACTGTAGAACAGTGTGCACGACATCACACGAGAATTATTGATATGATTAGTTCAGACAATGGAAAGACACACATACATGATGTGCATGACGTCATGATGACATCATAGGTTTGAAAGCAACATCAAACAAACGGGACTTCTATTGGATGGCTGGCTACTCATATCAGAAAGTCTGGTCACGTTCTGCCTGCTGCTGTGAAGCTGCACTCTGATTGGTGGTTGTCATGACAAACTGAACTCTGATTGGTGGTTGTCATGACAAACTGAAGTCTGATTGGTGGTTGTCATGACAAACTGAACTGTGATTGGTGGTTGGCATTGCACACTGAACTCTGATTCTCGTATTCATTAGACAGGTTTTCAGTTGTGTAAACCCGTCCCATACCATGGGAAGTAGTGCGAGAAGATTGGCCATGGACGCGTTAACGCATTCTAGCCGTGACACTGTACAATGGATGCGTTCGATTACACACAACTCTGTCCATTATAGGATTCGTTACGGTGCATGTAACGTTCGATTACACAAATTCCGCCGTCACAATCGACGAAATCTAGGGGGGGGGGGGGATACGAAATCCAGGGGTGGGTACTAAATCCAGGGGTGGGTACTAAATCCAGGGGTGGGTACAAAATCCAGGGTGAGGGTACGAAATCCAGGGGTGGATACAAAATCCAGGGGTGGGTACTAACATCCAGGGTGAGGGTAGTGGGGTTATGGCACGTGTAGACTTACTCAAGGTGGTTGTCCTGACGAGATCTTTGTACGGCCAACATGCCATATACAGTGATATGCCATGAGACAGCAATATGCCACATACATTATATACAGCGATATGCCATATACAGCGATATGCAATGGGACAGAAGCAGAACAGAAGCAGAACAAATTCAGTACACTTGATGTGCGACATGACATTGTAGGGAAAACATGAAGTGAGAGGTCAGCTAAAAACTCAATGCAAGCCATTGCTACAGTCCATTCATTGGAAACTGGTACCCTAACTTTTTGTTGTCTCTCGCACATAGTTGTAGATATCATGAAAACAACAGTACATTCTGCATTGTGTGACCCATGCAATTATTCCTTGCCACAGTTGAGGCCGGAAAAGTCCAAGAACAGGGAAATAGAAATTCAGCCAGGTTTTACAAAATTAGGACAGGTATGCCATGGCAAAATGTATGGAGAAGCAGATCCGAAACCCAGATTTTTGAGATTTAAAGTGGGTTTTTGATCTTCAATTCGGCCCAAATCGGACTTTTAAAAGCCAGCGGAACTGTTTCCGATGAATGGACCGTAGTCTGTATCACATTAGGGCTGATTCCAAAAGAATTTTTACCTCAAAATGTCCTGTCCAGTCCGCTCTCCTTGACTTTTTATCCAGAATTGGACAAAGCTTTGTTTGGAGTTTTACTCCTTTCCCCCTTGCTAATCCTTTCTTGTCCTATTCATAATCACAGTGTGTGTCAGATTGAGTTTGAATGTAATGGGGAAACATACCAAACATCACAGCTGTTGAATTCAACTTTCCAGGGCTATTCACACACACAGGATACAACAGAGGTCAGGTCCACCCCTTGCACATTGCTCTGACAATGGGTGACAGGCCTGAAACAACAAGAATCTTTTAGCAGAATCTTCAGTTGCAGCACGAGACGCAGATTTCGAGCACTGTAGGTCAACAAAATAATATTCGACGCATATCTATTTTCGGCTATTTTCGGCCTGGACATGCATTTTCGGCCTGGACATGCATTTTCGGCCTGGACATGCATTTTCGCCCTGGTCGTGTTTGGCCGACAAATCTGTTGCGGCCGAAATTTTGTTTTGCAAGGTTCATTGTGACAGTGTATACAGGCGGCAGCAGTACAGCAACATTTGATGCGGTTGAAATGATTTTTAGCCCTGGGAGGCCGACATTTGTGGACTTACAGTAGCAGGTGAATAGAGCTGTTGTCAGTTGACAAGCCTCGTTTTCTTTCTGCAATGCAGTTGCGTGATGTCCACACATTTCTTAGGATACTAAAGAAGGAGACTTACCGTGAACGACTGCCGGATCTAGACGTGGATCTTTCGTCGCCGCGATGGCTCGAGTTGCCATGACGATGGTCTTCGGCTCGGCTGCGCTGCCTGCTGTTGCCTCTGCTGTACATTGGCGGGTAGTGTGCAGTAGCAGTGGCAGCAGCAGTGGTAGCGTCGTCGGGTTCATCAGACTCTAGAACCTCCAGCATTGCCAGCAGATCAGCTTGGGCCTTACTGACCCCTGATCTAAACAGCAAGCAGCAACAGAGGACAACGTCGGTAGGCATGATAAAAGAGCCCTACTCTTCATTCAATGGACCCATTGCGCAATGACGTAATTTGCACCATAAACACCTCACACAGCCACCTACTGGGCATGGTCGTCTGGGGTGCTGAACAGTGCATTCCTGATCCCAGCGTACTCACAAGCATTACTCATACATTCCATATTTGACAATGCGTAATGGGTCGATTGCTGTGATGAGGATAGTGTTTGCGATCGGCATTCTTGAGTAGCACTTAAAAAAATAAGTATGCAACAAGCATGCTCAAAGACTGCCTGGTGATCATGCGTTGACAAAGTGTCATGTTTTGCTCTGTATCACGTGTGTATGATGTACCCTATTGGACACATTAATCCATTGCTAGTGTAGTAAAGCGAAGGTTTGCAAGACGCCATGAGAGTGGAAACCACTCACTCAGTGTCAGTGTAGGTCACGGGTAAACAAATGCACACTAATTCCTAATTTGTGCTGCATCACTAGCCTGTAGCAAAGCCTCAGCCCCCCCCCCCCCCTCCCGCTTTAGGTTGTGTCCTGGTGGCTGTCAATTTTCTTCAAACATTTCTTTGCTTGCCAACACCCACGAATTCGGAATTAGTATGCATTTTTACCCGTGAGTGAACCGTTCAGTTAGGGGGTAGTTCCCATCCCGGCTTAACTCATTCAACATATTCTAACTTCAACCCGTAACCGTCTGACATTGTCCACGGACTGAAATATTCGCAATATGTCCGGACAGCCATTATGACAGCTGCTGAATTCGAAAGCTGTGCATTTAGCTATTTTCAATTTTCAACATTGAAATAATGCACGTACCTTTGGCTGTTAGGTCTACCACGCTGTCCAGAATGCTTCGCAGGAGATGACTGGAGGATGCCTTGCTGTACAACCAAGGCCGAAGACATTTAAATGTCTGTTAGTACTTAAAAGCATACACAGATAGTGTAAAAACGAATTACGGTATAGCAGGAGTCTGAATACACTCCTACTGGAAACAGTTGCAAAGAACACGCTTCGTCAGGGGATTTCGGAAATTCGTTTATCAGCGAGGTCAACAAATCTTACACAGTAAAAGATACAACCAAGGCGCCCTTTGCTAAGGTCTGAGTGCTCTAGCTGCGACAAAACACAGCGAGCCCTGCATCAGGACAGACAACTTCAACGCTAACCAGGAAAGTGTGCTCAACCAAGCCGACCGTGACGAGGGAGCGTAATAATCATTCTCAGATGGAGAGCCAAGGATTAAAACTAAAAAAAATTAAAAAATTGTCCTTATGGTCCCCTCTTTTTAATCATCATTCTACACAAGCAGGAGGATGAGGGGGAGCAAGCACCAGGTGATCACGATTTGGCACCCACCCACAGCTCCTACCCTATCTGACTGGACATCAGGTGTATCCAGCTGATCATCTTGCTCAGCCCGCTGCGTGAGTTCTCTATCACGGCTACGTTGCAGCTCCTGCGCCTTCGCCTTGGCTTTCATTTTGGCTTCTTTCTTGCGCTGCACACGTTCCTTCATCCACACACAGGCACAGGCACAGAACCAAACACAAACACGCACATGTGCATGCTAGCAGACTCAAACACACACATGTGCATGCTAGCAGACTCAAACACACAAACAAACACATACATACACATGCCTGCCGAAAGGCGGGCGAAGTTGGTCCCGGTTTGAGGGGGGTCGGGGGATGTTCCCCGGGCATTTTCTGGAAAAATCTGGTCAGAAATAGCAGAATTTGGCCATTTCACAAGTTTTCAGAGCCCACTACACTGTACAGGGAATACTTTTGCATGGATATCAATGTACATGTACAATGTATGGCCTACTATGGGTGGTGCACGTACACATGTACCGTATTTTCCGGGGTATAAGCCGCACTTTGTTTCGCTAAAAATCGGACCAAAATTGCCCCTGCGGCTTATACACCGAATATGCTTGCGCAAATGAATGCTTAGCATACATCAGTATGCATGCTGACGTCATGTGACATGTCATTCGACTCAGCTTCGCGCCTGTGTTGCTGATCAACATCAGTGGCAGCGAGACTGAAGATAGTGCAGATGACATGGAGTGATCTGTAGTCAATACAGCAATACACCAACATCTCTGCAGCAACCTGTGCTGCACTAACACTTCATAATCTGATCTAACATGGTATTTAGCTCCATAACTATAATAAATTTGTAGAAAGGCCATTTGTCAATGAGTGTGAAAAATCTAGGTTTGTGGGTGTGGCTTATACTCCGAATACTAACTTTTAGTCAATATTTTGCCTCAAAAAGGGGAGTGCGGCTTATACCCCGGTGCGGCTTATACCCCGGAAAATACGGTATGCATGATCGATAATGCACTCATGTACATGCAACCAGAATGTTTGAGGGGGGGGGGGGGGGGGGGGTGGAGAGGAGGAGAGGGGAAGATGTCATGGCAATACGGTCTTTCCAACACATTAAATTTGTGAGACTATTATAATCCCAAGCTGCCAGGTGTGTGATTGATTTAAATGTAGTGTACAGGTACATCGATGTGAAAATAGATGCGGCTTACAAACATACTGCAGACCGTGCAGCCAAGATAGAGCCAGAACACAACCCAGGCAGTACTGTAAAAGCCATTATTCTAACGAGGCCCCTTGTAGAACGATCTCCCAAAATTGACTAGTTTACGTGTACAAATTACATTTTAAACTTACCATTTCTTCTTGGATAATAACATCGTTCTGCCTCTGCTGTGCTTCATGCTCCTCTAGGCGTTTCTGCTTCATTGCAGCAATCGCAGCTTTGTGTCGGCCTGCACGTTGAGCGGAGCGTGCTTCCTTCTGTACAGTCACATTGTCATGTAGATACACACACACTGTGCTGAGAATGATAGATACCGTATTATCTCTAATATAAGCACAGTCTCCAATAATAGCACGTCTCCAATAATAGAACACCTTGGGGCGGCATTCAAAAAATAAAGTGCTCAGTCTCCATTATAAGCACACTGTGTAAATTCATTATCTGTACGGGGGAAAAAAAACCTGAAATGTGTGTGTCATACATGAATTTGGCATGGCAACATGCCTCTGAAATGAGGTTGAAATAATAATGGAACAGTCTCCAATAAAGGAACGTCTCCATTAATAGCACGGGGCGGAGGTACATTGAAAATATAAAGGACCGTGCTTATATTAGAGATAATACGGTAGATAGATAGATAGATAGATAGGCTGTCCGTTTTGAAGCCATCAGTTGCCTGATGATCGTAGTAATATGTGAACCTCAGAGTTGCGACACAGCTTCCAATTTCTCTCTCTCTCTCTCTCTCTCTTGTGTAGATAGACAGATAGAAAGATAGCTAGATAGATAGATAGATACACACGGAAAGTGGGGTGTGGTCCTGGAAAGAGTGCTCGATGCACCGGGGTGCAGAGCTTCATACAAAAAGAATAGAATGGGATACGGAGCTTGGGTTGGCTGTGACTAAAAGTGTCACGCCTGTGGCTGTCTGATGATCGCCACAGGCGTGAAACTCTGAGTCACAGCCAACCCAAGCTCCGTATCCCATTCTATTCTTTTTGTAGATAGATAGATGGATGGATGGATGAATGGATAGAGTAGTGCAGAACGTTTGAAGCGAGGAAAGAGAAAGGGGGCCCAGTCGGGATTCGTCGCAACTCAGAGTTCCTAAATCCGGTTAGAATTATGCGTAGTTACCACACAGCAGCCCTGTTGCTTCAATTACTGGCCGCTCCTATTCTCGTTCCGAGCTTGCCCAACGCGAAGGAGAATTTATTGGAAGATGAAAGACGACTCGGTACATCGTCAACCGCAGTTCATCCTGGAACCGTGGCGCCAAGTGAGAAGCATGATCACATACATAATGATCAACCCCAGATTTCAGTATCAGTCAATTTTGCGTATAACGACACTCGGCCGGGCATCAGAAAAGTGTCCTTATTCGCGAAGTGTCCTTATACCCAAAGTCTCATTATATGTATACACGTAGAATGGATTTTGCTCTGGGCATGGAAATTCTGTCGTTATTTGCGAATTGTCGTTATACCCGCAGTCGTTATTAGGCCATGGTAAAAAATAAAGTTGATCATGAGCATGTGAAAATCGGTGCGAGGGAGCGATTTTTTATTTTATTTCCTACATTTTTTAATTTCCAAAGATAGGGTCACACATATGTACATGGTCACATGTTCATAATAATTGTTAGGCCCACAAGCTACTTGCGTGCCCATGTTTGCCATAGCTACCCAGGCCCTTTATATTGCGTTGCCTCTCTCTTCAACTCTCTCTCTCTCGCTCTCTTCAATAATCACCATGTAGTCGTTTCGTTCGTCCTGGTCTTAGTCATCCTGTCTCTAATAGATGTCGTTCCACCAACATGCCTGTTCCCATCGTCACTATCTTGTTTGGACTCAACATTGGCGCCCAGCTTTTGCCGAAGCCTGCGACCCTGGGATTCTCGTGCTCTACCGCCTGGCATTCGTCTCGTCGTCAGTCTCGTCTCATCGCCAACCTCGTCTCATCTCCAACCTCGTCTCTTCAATGTCAACCTCGTCTCGTCCAGGTCCCGTCTATAATAAATGTCGTTCCACCAACATACCTGTTCCCGTCGTCACTATCTTGTTCGGACTCAACATAAATATAATTCAGGCCACGGACTAGAAAAATACCGGAATTTTACTACTCCCTGATTCATGTCTTTCGCATTGACCGTTTTGATGCACGCATTTGCATGCATAGAATTAAAAAATTCGTCGGTGCGCCGCCAAAAATCGGTGCGCGCGTACTTGAGAATCAAAGATAATTTTTTCCATGGCCTTAGGGGCCGTCCGTAAATATCGATGTTTTTTTAGAGACGATATTGGTGCTTCTCTCCCTTGACCCCCCCCCCCCCTCCCCCCAGAAGACGCACATGTACATCTAGATCATGGAATCAATATTTTTGGATGCTCATTTTTTTCCTTTTTTTGTCAATAATATGAACCCAGCTAACCTGTCACTTTGCCATGGCCATGCGGTTCACAACTTCCTCAACTTCTCTCTCGACAAAGAACAAACTTCAGGTACGGCCAGTCAAAATTCACATTTTACATCGTACAAAAAGCGTTCAAAGTGCAACTCATCGTGTACTGGTGTAGCCAAAGCGGCTACGCTCGGGCTTGAATTTTTTCAAATCCTTGTTCAGACAGTGAAGACTGGAAACTCTTGTGGAGTTCGTCCGTGTTTGTTCGCACTGCCTCTACGTCTTGTAAAAGGTCTCCTGCAGGCATCGTTCGGCCGATTTCCACAATCAATAGCTCATTCTTTTGCTCTTGAAATTCACCATGGGCGTACAGCTTCCAATTTTTGATTTTGTTCTTGTGTCGCGAGTTTTAGCTCCGCGAACGGAAGCTGGTTTCACATTTCTTGTATAGCCATTTAGACGTCCGCGTGCAGGGATCGGCGAAACTTCAGATACTTACATCGATATTTTTCTGATGCTCGAAAAGACGCACATGGCTCAAACCCCCTCCCCCCCCCCCCCCCCCCCCCCCAGACGCACCAATATCGTCTCTAAAAAAACATCGATATTTACGGACGGCCCCTTAGCAAAGTTAACTGCACCAGTGTTCTTATGATCGCAGGAGCATGAGACTTTGAGTTAGAATGAGTCCCTACTGCCCCCCCCCCCTTTCCTCTTTCTCGTAAGATAGAAAGCTGGAGAGATAGAGATAGGTAAATAAACAGATAGCCTAGATAGAGACAGACAGACAGACAGACAGACAGACAGACAGACAGACAGACAGACAGACAGACAGACAGACAGACAGACAGACAGCCAGCCAGCCAGACAGACAGACAGACAGACAGACAGACATGCTGGCAGACAGAGGAAGAGAGGTAGACACAGAGAGAGGCAGAGAGCTAGACAGAGAGACAGGGACAGACAGACAGACACAGAGAGAGAGACAGGGAGGGAGGGAGGGAGGGAGAGAGAGAGAAAGAGAGAGGGAGAGAGAGAGAGAGAGAGAGAGAGAGAGAGAGAGAGAGAGAGAGAGAGAGAGAGAGAGAGAGAGAGAGAGAGAGAGAGAGAGAGAGAGAGAGAGAGAGGGAGGGAGGGAGGGTGAGACAGACAGAGACAGAGAGAGAGACAGAGAGAAAGAAAGAGATAGAGAGACAGAGAGAGAGAGAGAAAAGGAAGGAGAGATATCTTTGGGAGTGAGTGAGTGTACGAGAAGGAGAGCTTGAAGAGAATCCTGACATTCTTACTTCTTGTTTTTGTCTCATCTCCTCTTCCAGGTGTTGCTGCAGTAGTTGCTCTTTCTTGTTTGCCAAGGCAGTTTGCAAGTGAAGGCTATTCGCTAGCTGATCCTCCTGCACCAGGTCTTGCTCCTGTTCTTCATCATATCCTGTCCTGCTGTCATGGTCACTGCTGCTATCTGCTAGTGCTGCAGTATTGATACGCGGTTGTTGCCGTCGCTGGTTCTGCCTTGTTGGCGGGAATACACCGCCCGGTTGTGGCAATGCTACGGCATCGGGTTGCTGTGCATGCACCACCGACGACTGTGCATGCTCCGCGGCAAGTCCGCTCGATGCGTTCCTGCTGTTTCGATACCAGCGTTGGATGCGCGTCGCGGCTACGTCTAAATGCTGACGGAATTGTATCTGCTGTGCGTGAACGCTGGAAGACTTGACGGGACTCGGGACTGGAGAGTAACGTTCCCCGGCCTTCCTGTTCAAGCTCTGCAGGCTTGCTGCCAGTGCCGATGCATCGGCGGACAGGTGATGCAGGTCTTCGTCGAGGGGTGGGTGTCTTGTTGTTTGGTTCTCATGCCGCTCTGCACTGGCAGTGTTTGCACGTTCACCTTCATCCGTGGCAGGCTCCGTGAAAGTCTGTACAAGGCTGAGCATATTAGGTGGTGTAGTGTATCTTGTAGGCACGGCTGCTTGCCCATTGGTGTGCTTGTCGGGCACACTGTGTGTGCTCTCATGTGCAGCAGTAGAAGATGAAGCCAGTCGCCTGTTGCCGTCCAACGACAGTGGTCTCGAGTGGGCCTTGTCGTCACGTTTATTTGGCATAGCCGCCCAGGCTGGCGGAAGTTTGTGCTTGGCCGTAGAAGCTCGACGAGCAATGACAGTTGAAGATGTCGACTGTGCTGGATGCTGGTGTCCTTGCACTTGTGGTGTGACACTGCCTGAAGAACAAACGACACATACAATGACGAAATGAGTTGATCTTTTCATAATAAGTGTACTATAAATTTGTTCCACTGTATTGAACTCGGATACTGAGCCAATAAATAATAAAACAGAAGAAATCACATGGAAACGAGTTATGAAGCAACTATCCACGACTATCACACTTCCTGACTGATATTATTATATTGTTACAGTCGTGGATAGTTTCTTCATAACTCGTCTCTATGTGATTTCTTCTGTTCCACTGGATGTTCGGGAGAATGAAGTTGAAGACACCACTCCAGCTGTACTTATGGTTGATAAATATGGTGGTAAAGACACACCTTAGCTTAGAGAGCGTGTGTGGGCAAGCGTGTGTTTTCCCGCCATATTGCCAGGTGTGTCTTTTCCACCATATTTATCAACCACTGGATGTTCGTTTACACTAAAGCTCTGCACGTCATGAATGGAGTACTCTGACTAGTGCTCTAGGAGGTTCATGTAAAGGTTGACCTGCGCACGGGGGGGGGGGGGGGGGGCATACTCACATAACTTCATGTTGAACACTCCGGCAGCGTTCGTCTATGAAAACACTGTGTCAAACACAGATGTGTGCCACTGCCAGGAAATAGTGTTCAACTCTCTGACATCATGCACTGATGACCTCTACATGTACAGATCAATGGCTACAGTTGTTCATCTTTAACAGGCGCGTAGCCAGAGTGGATACGTTGTAGTCAGGTATTCAAACGGTATGCCCCCACATGAGCGCGACCCAAAACAGCGCCGTTGACTTCAGCGCCCCCCAAAAGCCCCATCCCCATAACTGGACATCCCCAAAACAGACCACCCCGTCAGCGCGCACGCTCAATACAGGTCGGCTCATTTACACTCAAACCCAAAAGATGGACACTTGACTTGTCAAAGACTCAAATCATGATCAACTCGAAATGGCCAGTTCAGTATTGAAGGGCGATATTGCCTGGACTCAATTTATAATCAACTCTAGAAAGCAATGATGAACATTTTTGGCAATTTTGGCATTCTGGATGTGGAATTCGGTCTAGATTACACTATGAAACTAGTATTACGGTACTACCACATTGATAATTGCATGCACTACATTCAATTTGTTTGCATTACCTAGTTGTGACCAAGACCCACATTGCCATTGGTACTTCTTGGTATTTGCTCTTTTGTATTGCAAATATTTCCATAGCAACATGATGCCAACATCGCACCTTTAAAAACTCTTTTCACATACCTGCTTTGTGAGAATTCATAAATAGCACGGAACACCGTTTTCAACCCAAATGTTTCACCATTACCATTAATAGGTAGCATAATTCGTGTTGTCTAGCATCCAAATTAGCATCTTTCTGAGTTGTCAGCTAGCATCCCAAAAAGCATCTTGGCAACATTTAGCCAGCATCTGCCGCTGGGGCCTATGCACAACTCGTTCTCATGTGTTTCTTCTCTTTTTTGCATATCTTTTTTAAGAACGGGTTTCCTCCTGATATCCACCATGGTAGTACTAACATCAAGAGTACATAAAACTGGTTATGCTCTCTTGCTAACATGAGCCTGCACATTATGGGTCACGTGTGTAATGAGCTGGCTTATATTCGGACGTTAACGTAATTGGTCGCGCCAAAATGGGGCGTGCAAGAGATGAGACGAGCTGTAGTGACACCGTGTCACATTAGGTCGCGCTGTACTGGGGGTGCTAATATGAACACGCGCCGTTTATGGTTGCGCTGTTTTGGGTGTAAATCATTCAAACATGCTTGGCCAGCACATGTGGAAATGCACTGTACAATCATACTTCTAAGTACTAATACCAGACCATGCACAAGTCTAGATTACAGGCACTGACTTCACGTGTAGAGTCAACTGTTGACTTAAGTGAAGTCGCGACTGAGAAGAGTTTGCAGGATGTACATGTTGTGTGGACATCTAGTCTATGTACACGTACATTGGTGAGGCTCGAGGAGAGGCTTGTACGTAGCGTCTACTTCTTTGAACCGCTGTTCGCATTCGCTGTGTGAACCGCACTGCAGCAGTACTGCATAGCACCGGTGCAGTGCGGATTCACATCTACTTTTTTGCACTTTGCAAAAATCTGCATTAGTGAAAGAGTAGCTCCGAAACATAGCAGTTTTGAAGTCAATTGAACCTCAGAACATGAACCATACCTCTGCCAACTGCATACTCACAGCGCAAACTGATTCAAACTTCACAAAAACGGGGGGGGGGGGGTTAGTACCTTTTGGACTCAGAATCCCCAACAAGTAATCTATGACGTAACGATTAGTTGACTGTTAAGGAATTATCGATCGATGACCGAGTAATTGGTATAACCGTTTCAGCCCTATTCATAAACAAAAATGTCCTTTTTATGTACATTGCAGCAATAGATACAGCAGGATTTCCTGAGCGCAAATGATGCCAAAGTATACAGGTACCATTGCAGGTGAATAACAAGAGGTCATGGTACAGTAAGCATGTGAGCAGAGATCGAAACAGCCGAGAACGATTTAGAATGCACTGCTGCCTGTATGCCATGCACATGCTGGGGCGTCGGACACGCTACGGTCACTACGGCATTAACTGTGCCACTCTTTGCCCAAAGTACCCCATGAAACTTTCAAAAGCACTGATTTGGGCTCCACATTTCGAAACTTTTCAGCAGAGCCACCCCTCCTAACAAGTAAAATGGAGCTCAGATGGCTGACCAGCTCAGATGGCCGACCGGCTCAGATGGCCGACCAGCTCAGATGGCAGACCAGCTCAGATGGCCGACCAGCTCAGATGGCCGACCAGCTCAGATGGCCGACCAGCTCAGATGGCTTACCGTACCACCCTGAATGTCCTTCCGATGCCCCTGACACGCATGCCATACATGCTTCGACACAACCCACTCCAGTCAAGAAAAACATATCAAATACTCCTTGACGCGAGCGTCTACGTTCCCTATAAGAGTGCATGTAATCCATTATTATTGTTGTTTGGAAAGAATGTAAAACACTTTTTCTTGTTGACCTGCCGGCCCTTTACTGTGGAACCGTAATATTCACTGGCTTTCATTATTTTTTATAAAACTGTCAGGTGTACCTACCTCGCTTTTTCGTGGTCACTTGTCTTGAAGACGACGACGCCGTCCCACTCATTAGCTTCGTGTCTCGTGCTCCACTACTTCTAGTGCTCTGACTTCGTTGACCGCTGCTTGCGGCAGGGCGAGAACCATGTGCGCCCACTCGTTCCGCACCCACTCTGGGAGGCACTCGAGTAGAGGTCGAGGATGGTCGACCAGCGTGGCCCGAACGATTGCCAAGTGAGACATTACTGCCCGAAACACCCAGCTCGCTACCACGACCTAAACCTGCGCCGCTCATCCTCCCAACAAAACGTTATGCAGCCAAAACTAACTGGAGTGAAGGAGACAACGAACAAAATGAGTATCAACTGGAAAAATTGCGATGCTCGGATCAAGCTCCGCAGGCAATGGTACAAACGCGTCTCACGTTCCAAAGTAAAACGCAAAATTTCCTGACACGACCGTCGAATAGTGCCACACTGCTTCACTGGTACTGCTCTCTGATCTGTAAATCTACTCTCTAACGTCAGACTGCGTGTAGTTCGCTTTGCAATATTTCATTCAATTATTTTCTTCGCGGTGTGCAGAAGGCCGAGGCACGTCGTATTCTCCTCAGTCTTCACCGGTTGATGAATTTTTGCTCCGATTCATTTTCATCTTCGCAGTCAGCGCCACCATGGCCACAGGCACAGCACAGCGCGGCGATCTGACTTCTCCGTTCTCGGTCTGCTCAGTGCTCTTGTCAAGTCTTGACTCGAGTCTGGTTTTGTGCGTCCCGCCACTGATGAACGCTGCAGCAGTGCATGCGCCATGCATGGTCCGCAGCATGGCCCCGCGGTTGTCATGGAGCGCGGCGAGCCAACACACCAAGTATGAGAGTCACATGACCTCTGTGACATCCTCCATCGATCCACCTCTTCACAGCTTTGCGGACTGGCCTTCGCCTTCGGCTTCGTCGTTCGAGTCGGAGCTTTCGCCCCTGATTACTGAGTACCTCTTCTCGGACCTGAACATTTCTATCCTTTCGCGAAATTTCGCTTGGTTTGGCCTGTCGAAGTCGATACCGGTATTGTGCTGACGTGGTGGGGCACCGGTCCGTTGGAAGTGTTGTAGCAGATACAACCATGGCGGCACACTGTACCGTGCTAGCGGCTGCACTGGTGTTCCTAGCGATCGCTAGCAGAGCCGTGCAGTCCACTCCGAATATTGTACTGCTGTTTGCGGATGATGTAAGTCGGTTCACTCAGATAAATAATATTTTAGAAACACTTCAATCTGCGCCTCTGATGAAGGCTACACCTAATTTTATGAAAATTACAGATTGGTGATGAATGACTCCAATCCCCAGCTAGCACCACTGAGCTACCAAAACATAATACTGATATAGGAAAGGAGCACTTTGTCCCTAATCTAGGGTGCATGTCTAGGCACTCTCTCTCTCTCTCTCGACCAACAACAGTTGTAGCCAAAAAATCCAGCCTATGCTGTACGGGCTAGTATAATACAGTCAAAACTCGTTAGGACGAACTTCAAGGGACTGAAAAAGTTTGTTTGTCTTTAATATCGGGAGTTCTTCTTATCCACATCTGACAAAAAATCGATATGCAGTATCATTTGTACTGTATTTATGTGAATGTGCATGTTGTGGTACATGGGAAGCATCTGATTCTTAGCATAAGCCAGAAACAGGTAAGTTAATGTACACGGACAATGACAATGTGCAATGAATCACGACTGTGCCGAAAGTTCGTAAAACGCGCTGGTTTTGTTCAAAACACGCGTGAAAACAATTTGCACTGTGCGTACAATATTATGGCCTTGACTATTGAAAGAAAAGAAGAAGAAAAAAGGCAGCCAGCGCACGCGCACGCTCGTGGACCGAAAGTTCGTACTACATGGACATGATCACACTGATTTTGTTCAAATCACACTTGAAAATAGTTTGTCTTCGCGAAAGTTCGCAGGGCAGTGGAACCGGTCCAGTTGGTCAGGTGAGGGGCCGCACCAACTCTTGGCCGCGCTAACTGCTTAGTGGGTCAGGGCTACCTGCCTTATGGGGCGCAAGGTATGACTGGCTATGCTCTGACTGGCTGTGCTCTGACTGGCTGTGCTCTGGCCAGACCAATCAAAAACTGCTTCTGTCAGTCCTGTGTCTGAGTAGATTCCGAGACCTTTAACCGTCTGGCCCCGCCATCACTTCTCGTGCATATTCGCGAATATAGTGGACTTTGTATGAATGTGTGGCTGTGTGTGTCTCTGTATGTGTGTCTGTAATTTCAGCTTGGCTATGGTGATCTTGGTTGCTATGGTCACCCCACATCACACTCGCCTAATTTGGACAAGATGGCTGCAGAGGGTTTACGCTTCACACAGTTCTACAGTGCTAGTCCAGTATGCAGCCCATCAAGGTTTGTCTGGACTGGTGTTCCGATTGTCTGTCTGTGTGTGTGTGTGTGTGTGTGTGTGTGTGTGTGTGTGTGTGTGTGTGTGTGTGTGCGTGTGCGTGTGCGTGTGCGTGTGCGTGTGCGTGTGCGTGTGCGTGTGCGTGTGTGTGTGTGTGTGTGATACCAGGCGAAAAATTAGTGGCGGTCAATTCATCAGCCTTGCAAGCTGTTGAATGGTGTAATCCCAGCACAAGTTGCTATGTCTAACATAGCTGTTCGCTATCATCGCTTCCGCGATGGGCAGGTCTGAGGTCTGAGGTGTGTCTGTGTGAGCTGTTCCAATGCCCGGTATGCCACCATAGTTTTCGTCGACGGCAGGATGAGAGCCGCCATAAATGTAATGCGATAAGACACCCCCGTCGAGCGCCCTGATGGACAGCACAAATCTGAGTCTGCCCCTTTGGGGGGGGTCACAAAGCCGGACAAGGCAGTGGTACAAGCAGGGAGGAAGGTGTGTGTTTGTGTATGTGCGTGCGTGCGTGCGTGCGTGTGTGTGTATTTATCTATCTGCCTGCTTGCTGGTCTAAAAAGAAGGTTGGTAAGACCTGTCAAGGTGCTAGTGCTCGTTCTGATAAGGCAACCACCAGTCCCAGAATTCCCCTACCACTGGGGATAAGGCATGTTGTTTCTAGTCAAATAGAGAGAATATCCAGGCAGTGCATTTCTCAAGTGGAAGAACGCCACTTCAGTGCCTTTTTTCGTACATGGGTACTACTGGATATGCATGTGTGTGTTATTATCTCAGAGCTGCACTGTTGACGGGCCGATATCAAATTCGATCCGGCATCTGGCCAGGTGTGTTCGGGGCAAGCTCTACAGGAGGTATGGTCAGCAGCCTACAATTTTCACTTCACTGTATGTGCGTGTGTGTGTGTGTATGTGTGTGTGTGTGTGTGTGTGTGGCTGTGGGTGGGTGTACGCATATGCGCGTGTGTGTGTGTGTGTGTGTGTGTGTGTGTGTGTGTGTGTGTGTGTGTGTGTGTGTGTGTGTGTGTGTGTGTGTGTGTGCATGTGGTTGTGGGTGGGTGTACGTGTGTGTATGTGTGTGCGTGTGAGTGTGTGTGTGTGCTTCGGTGTGTGTTTGCGCTCATGCATCGCTGGCATTTCAGGGCAGCGTTATTGACAGGTCGTTACCAAATTAGATCCGGAATTTGGCCGATGGTGTTTGGGGCTAGCTCTACTGGAGGTATGAATATACAACGCACTTAATATGTGTATGTGTATGTGTGTGTGTGTATGTGTATGTGTGTGTGTGTGTGTGTATGTGTGTGTGTGTGTATGTGTGTGTGTGTGTGTGTGTGTATGTGTGTGACAAACCTACCACTATCTTATGATCAATTGAGTCTTCTTTCCACTATTCCCTTTTGAATCTCCCTCCCCTCTCCCGGGGAGAGCCACATGACCAGTTTTGGCAGTGAGCAAGTACGAGTGTGTGTGTGTGGGGGGGGGGGTGCGTGCGTGCGTGTGTGTGTGTGTGTGTGTGTGTCTACCTAGTGCAACGATGGCTATTGACGTTTAGCCATAGCAGTTCCATGTGCACAAGGGTTTGGCCTGTATCGCACTCAGCACGGTGTTATTGATGAGGGAGTATGTCACTAACCAGCACTACAGCTCAAGGTTGTACACTCAGACCTCGCTCAGACCTCACTTAGCCGAACACATCCGTTTTCCACAAAACATCTGAAGGGGCGAGGGAACCGGATAATCGAACACACATACTGTATGTATGCATGACAGATGCTGTAGATCGGTGACCAACGGTTTTCTTCCGGATGGCGAGGGTCCGGATTAAAGAGGACCGGTTAAGCGAGGTCTGACTGTACTTAACTATCAATTCATGTGTTTCTGCACCTTGACATTGTTTGATATGCTGATAAATCAGCTTTGTTTGTGCCGATGATTGCATTCTCTCTCAGGTCTGCCACACAATGAGACAACAATAGCCGAGGGTCTGAAGAAAGTCGGCTATGCAACGGGTATGGTTGGCAAGTGGCACTTGGTGAGTTGACCACTACTAGTATTTAGGGAAGAGTTCTTGCTCGGTTTGAAGCGGTGAAGATTTCTGGGGTGTTGGACACGATACGGTCACTACGGTATTGACCATACCACTCTATGGCCCCGGGGTAACTGTGGATCAATCAAAAGCACTGATTTGGGACCCAAATTTCGAAAATGTTCTGCGGGGCCACCCCCTCCCAGCAAGTAAATTTGTACTACAGGTGGCTGACAGCACCACCCTAAGATACCTTCCGACGCCCCCGGATTTTGATCACATTTAGAAGGATCTTATGCATGCGTATGCATCAGTGGATTGTGTGTGCTGAGGGTGTGTGTCTGTATGTGTGTGTTGGGGGGGGGGGGGGGGGTGTTTGAGCGTGTCCGCTTGCGTGCATTCATGTGTTGTATTCATCTGTGTGTATTGACATTAGTGTCATATGTGTCATATGTGTGTGTGTGTGTGTGTGTGTGTGTGTGTGTGTGTGTGTGTGTGTGTGTGTGTGTGTTTCACAGGGTGTCGGTGCTAACAATACCTACCTACCAGTCAACCAGGGTTTCGACCATTACCTTGTGAGTCTGGCTGCTCTCACCGTTTGTGTTTCAAATCTTTATTCTCACAATGGCCTGTGAGTGTGGGTTTAAATATTGCACCGTGTTGGTCTTGCTCTGCACACCATCATGTCTATTGCCATTATCATTGTCACTGTCCTCACCTTGATTTCTCGCATGTTGTTTCTGCTGCTGCTGCTGCTGCTGTTCCTCCTGCTGCTGCTGCTGTCTCTGCTGCTGCTGCTGTTATTGCTGCTCTTGCTGCTGCTGATGTTGCTGTTTCTGCTGCTGCTGTTGCCGCTGTACCACACAGGGTATACCATTCTCGCATGACATGTGTCCGTGCGCTATCTGCTTCTATCCCAATCAATCGTGTTTCGATGGATGCAGAAAAGGTGAGGTTTCACGGAAACTTTGAACTCAACTAGTGTCCATTCCAAGAAGGCTTTTAGCAAGTTTGGTTTCATGTTCTTCAAGCGCACCTGGGTTGTGTTAAACTGAATCTCTTGACAGCTCGCATTAATCAATTGTAGATACGTGCAAAAATTGTATGCTTTAATTCATTTCATTTTCATTCATGCTTTCATTTCTTGTCTGATGATTGGTTTTCACCATGAAACCCTGAGTAACAACGGAACAGTCCTATTGAATTCCTTTTGTATACCTCTTGTGCACAACGCTCTGCCCAGTCCGGGCATTTGAGCACTATTGCAGGTTACGGTGCACTGAAAGTGTGTGCTCTTTCTAAGTGGTCCATTACGGCATTAGTAGAGGGAATGTAGGTCATGGTTTACGTCACGGTGACGTTTCTAAAGTACAATAAACTGTATTAAACACTTTGGACACAGATCAAGGTGATTCAGTACTCCGGATTGGATGCATATCTGCTGTTATGTTTCCGTAGGTGAAGCACCGTGTCCTCTGTTCATGGACAATGAGATTGTTCAGCAGCCGGCCGATCTAACGACACTCACACAGCGTTACACGGATGCAGCCACGGGATTTATACAGAAAAGTGCAGGTATGAACAAGACGTCCATGCGCATGATTCCAATTTCACTATGTTCAATTTCGTTTACCGGAGGGTGTACCCAGTGTGCTGACAGTGCTCAACACCATGGCGGAGGCACAGCGTAATACAGAACAGAACAACAAGGACAATCAAGGCTTGTTTGCTGCTACTTCTTCTACTGCTGCTGCTACTTCCAATTCGTTTATAATGTCCGTCGCCTTTATATCTTTAAACAGTTGTCGTGGAGACGGAAATGAAATCAACGCGATAAGTAAAGCAAGCTGTGCATTCCTTCTGAAGAGATGGCGACGAAAACGTTCAAGGAAATCTAACCTGTGCCAATGGTGTGTGTGTTTTGAATGCGCAACTTGCCTTTACTTATTGCGTCGTTGATATCTTTTAAAACGTTCCTCCTGATTATGACTCCTTGTTTTCCCCATCAGTTTGCTCCTCCAGCATTTCAGAGATTGAACTCTGCATTTCTCTCCCACCTTTCTTTCTACGTTACACTGTGTCTGTTTCTGGACAAAGAGTCCAAATACCAAAATTATAACATACAGTAAAACCTGTGACTAACGACCACCGCTTGGGGCCAGAGAGAGTGGTCTTTGGTGGCAGGTGGTCTTTAGTTAGAGGTTTGCACGGCACCCATGATAATGAATGTGAGACCGTCCATGCCTGACGAAGTGGTCTGTAGTACCAGGCTGGTCGCTAGTCACGGTGGTCTTTAGTTGCAGGTTTTACCGTACAAGCAAAAGTTGTAGATTCACCTCCTTCAGTTTCTGATTATGTCCGCTCTCCCATCTGCTCCATGTATCCTGTCCCCTGTCCAGCTGCCAAGACTCCATTCTTCCTGTATATGGCCTATCAGCATACACATCATCCTCAGTTTGCTGGACAAAAGTTCCGCAACAGCACAAGCAGAGGCACTATGGGGGATTCCCTGGTGAGTTGTCGTCTATCCTTGCCGTCTGTCACTGTTGTCATAACCGCGGCTTGTAACCATGGTGACATGGTACAGGACCACATACCTGGCAGTGCCGTCGGAAGGTATTTTATGGTGGTATGGTCAGCCACCTTAAGTACAATTTCTTGTGGGTTTGGGGTGGCTCCTCTGAATAATTTCCAGATTTCGAGCCCGGATGAGTGCATTTGCTTGTTTCCCAGGGTACTACTGAGCTGGGGTAAAGAGTGGTACGGTCAGTACCGTAGTGACCGTAGTTTGTCCGACGCCCCTGTGTTGTCATGACGACCCTGTGTTGCCTGGGTGCCCTCGATGTGCCTCCTGGCTATCTGTTTCTATCTCACGTGTTACCGTAGTGGCGGTGTTTGGGCATGTCACTATGGTTATTCCACTTGGGCATGTTGTCATAGTGATGATGTGCACTGCCATAGTCTGGGGTGCATCTAAAGTGGCAGGTGGCTATGTGGAGCCTGCAAGGCTGCATTGCCGTGTGCCTTGCAACAGCAACACAATACAGCATTGCTTCACAAACATGTACACTCATTGTCTGATTTCCATAAAAAAACCCAAGGCTAGTTGACTTATGGCAAGAGTACATGAAAACCAGAGTGTGCAGCTCCTATGGGTTGCTGTCACGGCCGAATTCCGTGATTACATCATTTTAGTGATGTAGTGCGTACAAGCAGGATTCAAGCAGGTCTCTTTCTGCACAAGTGCAGCTCAGTTGTACGCACTACGCCATTTCCTGCCTCAGATCTGCGCCAAATATAATGTAATTACGGAATTCCGCCGTGACAGACAGCCATAGTAGAAAAACCCCAAGCTGCACACTCTGGTTTTCATGTACTCTTGGTTATGGTGTTATGGTGACAGTTACAGATGGCTGATTTCTTGGTGATTTCTTGATTTCCTGATTTCAGATTGAGATGGATGACAGTGTTGGGCAGATTTTTGCAGCGTTGAAAGCAAGTGGAGTGGATGACAACACGTTCGTGTTCTTCACTGCAGACAATGGGTTAGTTTCATTTGACAATGTTGGTGTGTGTTGGAGAAGGGGGTATGGGTCTGTGAATGTGCTTGTGTGTGTGGGGACTGGGGAGGGGGGTGCGTGTGTATCCATCATGCAAGCTTGTTTTGCAGTGACTCATCCGAATGCCCAGACACACTCTGTTTTATGTGGAGGTTGGCAGGAACATTTTCTTTTAAATTGGCAAATTTTGAAACACCCGAATTGCATGTGCTTTGGTCGATTGCTCTCCACTTCTGAAGCTGTGTAGCCTAATGAATAAGGTTGCCTGCTCAGTTTTTTTCCATAGAGCTGCACAATCCGGGGATAAAAAGTGTGAAGTCTGTATTTGTTTATGGAACACACAGAACGGTAGGTTACAAGTTTTTTCTGCTTTGGCCAAGCTATGTCATTCCCTCCAAGCTATGTCATTCCCTCCAAGCTATGTCATTCCCTCCAAGCTATGTCATTCCCTCTGTAACTAAACATGTTTTACAATACCTTGTATCACACTGTTGCAGACCAAGCCTGACGCGACACGTTCGCGGTGGAAATCAAGGTTTGCTGAAGTGCGGCAAAGGAACAACGTATGAAGGAGGTCAGAGGGAACCAGCGTTGGCATGGATGCCGGGAAAGATAGCTGCAGGACAGATCACACATGAGGTAGGTTGGTGAGGTGTTTCTTTGCACTGGAGAATTTTCTGTAAGGCTACCACACAGACTTGCATGGATTTTTGTGCAGATTTGTTACACTTGTATCACGTGGTCAGATAGGACATAAAGTCATGTTGGCTCTGGTCTATGACATGTTCATCACGTGATCAGATAGGGCATAGAATCATGTTGGCTCTGGTCTGTCACATGTTCATCACGTGATCAGATAGGGCATAGAGTCATATTGGGTGTAATCAAGAGTAGATAAACAAGTGTGTGCAACTCCGGGATGGGTTGGCCCGCGGCGGAATGTTTTGTTGACGTCATCTTTTCGACGACGTACGCGCTGCGAGTCTTTTGGAAAGTTTTGCCTCGTGCATTTGGACGGGCTTTACACTACAAGCACGTGTTCTCACCCTCCTCTGTGGCAAAATGCGCGTTCTTCTGAAAAAGGGTGACGTAAACAAAAAATTCCGCTGCGGGCGGGTATCTGCAGATTGTGCAGAAGAGATCCGGAGTTGCACACTCTTGTTCATCTACTGTTGGTCTGATCTATGACATGTTCACCACGTGATCAGAATAGGGCATCCAGTTGTTTTAGTTCTCATCTATCACAAGTTGATCACTTAGTCAGACAGGCCATCCTGTCTTGTTGGATTTATCTTCGGTCAATCTCTACATCAATGAATCCCACTTGGCCCTGTAGAATCCACTCCGTACCATTTGGTTATTCATTGAAAGCACAATGCTGCTGTTGCCCAGGGTACTTACTTCTTACCCCCCCCCCCCCCGCTCATATTGGGATTCAAGTTATTGGATCCGGTTCCAGTGTGACGTCACCACTTCCATAAAAGTGACAAAATAGTAGTAATATTTCCACTGAATCTCGCCAAAAGGGTGCCCGGTAGACCAAAGTGCCCGTAAATCCAGGGGGTCCGGATAACCAAGGCATGAGTCTACCAACAGGTTTCTTCAACGCTGCCATGCCAGCGGAAGTAAGTTGGAGAGCAAAGAGGAAAGGCAGCTGGCAGAGCTGGTGTGGCACACTCTCCCATTGCCACCTGCATCTCACATGAGCTGGGGGGGGGGGGGGAAATAATCGTTATCTCGGTATTGTGCCAATGATGGAATCGTTTTTAAACACCCACTCAGACATTGCGTGCACTAACACTAAAATCTATGCACACATCACAAAATTCACAACCTTCGTATGTGTGTTTCCTTCAGCTTGCCGGTACAGTTGACGTTCTGCCAACTGTCTTCAAGTTGACAGGCGCTGAAATCCCCTCGGATCGTATCATTGACGGCGTGGACATGAGTTCTATTCTGTTCACAGAACAGGGAAAGGTATGTTAAGCTGGTGTCCATGTGTATTCATGTGTGTGTGTGTGTGTGTGTGTGTGTGTGTGTGTGTGTGTGTGTGTGTGTGTGTGTGTGTGTGTGTGTGTGTGTGTGTGTGTGTGTGTGTGTGTGTGTGTGTGTGTGTGTGTGTGTGTGTGTGTGTGTGTGTGAGCACGGGTGTGTATGTGTGTGTGAACGCTTGTGTATGGTCACAAGCGTGTGTGTTTTTTTGGAGCTGGAATGCCCACCTGCAAACGCACAAATTCCGCCATTCACATTGCATTCTAGCTGCGTATCTTACAAGTCACTCCGGGGTATTCACAGGGGCATCGGAAGCTATTCTACTTTGGTACAACCACGAACAGGGGATGGGAGGGGGGGGGGAGGGGTACTGGGGCGGCAGGAAATGTTTAGGACTATTGGCCCCAAATAGCCCATAATTCAATGCTGTGTGGTCACTAAGTGTTAATAGAGAGGTTAAGATGCACGTTATATCCGACTTGACGCGAAAGTTCAGCTCACGTTATGTGGCTCGCGCGTCGAAAAACAACTCGAGTGACCTGTAGCTCACGTAGAAATTTTAAAAAATTTGAAAAAATTTGACCTGAAATTGAACGTCACGTCAGAAATAACGTGCATCTTAATCTCTCTACTGTGTGTGTGTATTCACTGTGTGACTATAGGCTATTCGTACCCATTACTTCTACTACCCGAAGAATCCAGAACCGACCATTGGTCTGTACGGTATCCGCAACAACCAGTACAAGGCTCACTTCTACACGGAGGGGTATGTACACACACAGACACCGCTGACACCACTGGCATGGCAACAGTATGTTGGCATGGAAACCCTGGCATGATACGAAAATGTTCGCTGGTGGTTCTTAAAGTCGGTTGTCATTGACCCTTGCGTAGATGGGTTTGGTAAGGAGTTCTGCGCATCATGGCTCTTTCAGAATACTTGGTCCGCGTCATTCTATACCTTACCTTCCATTGTACCAAGATTTATCACCTCAAGTGCACGCATTGTTGTCCAAAGTCTAAGTTCAAATTGTCGAAGGATAAGCGACGATATTGATGACGCGGACCAGTGAATGATTGAACGTTTTGCTCTAGGACAGAAGCAATCTGAGAGCATCTCGATTTCTTTCCAGGGGTCCTGCGACTATGCAGTCTATGGTCTCGAAGTACTTGTATTCTCACTGGTATGGAGCAGTATGTCGGAAACCATACAATTCACCAGTAGCAATGGGAAAGGGGCCCATCAACAACCAACACCACCCTGAATCAGAATCCAGAAGGATGTTGTCTCTCCCTCCGCTAAAAGCCGTATTTATACGGATTTGTTGAGATATGAATGAAACTTCACTCCTCGACGCCAATGATGGCCTCTTTACTGCGCTTGAAATCAAATCTATATTTCGCCAAATTTCCGGGCCTGGCCCATCAACAGAGTTTGTTGATATGCTAAAATATCCTAGGATGACATCACTAGTCCTAATACCTACTGTTGAGTACGAGGGGGAGTCTACAAATTGTCGGCCCATTCAAATTTCGGCCTCCCAGGGCTAAAACCCATTTTGGCCGCTTCAAATGTTCGGCCTGTACTGCTGCTGCCTGTATACACTGTCACACTGAACCTTGCAAAACAAATTTTCGGCCAAACATGGCTAGGCCGATAATAGCCGAAAACGGATATGCGCCCAAGATTTGTTGACTTTCAGTACAGACGCTGACAGTATATACCTCTTGACGTGGAATTGTTTGATGCATTTCTGTGTAACTAGATCACACTGTGGCCCTCCATACCGTGATGAGGATTGTTGGAGTAAGACCGGTCAGAAGAAACAGGATCCACCAATCCTGTTCAATCTGCTAATCGATCCGAGTGAGAGATATCCTATCAGCCCCAAGAGTGACGAGTATAAAACGGTCATGGCCGAGCTGAATCAGGTTTGTTATGCGACACACCTGTATGTGTGTGTGTATGTGTGTGGGTGGTTACCAACAGCCAGTGTATGCCGGAGTATGTGGTGTGGTGTGTGTGTGTAGAAAAAAATGAAAAAATGAAAAATAGGGATTCACTGGCCAGAAAAAGTCACTTCAAACAGCTGTGTGGTGGATACCAGGCTAAAAATAGTGGCGGTCAATTCATCAGCCTTGCAAGCCGTTGAATGGTGTAATCCCAGCACAAGTTGCTATGGGTCTGTTTGTGTGTGCATGTGTGCCAGCTAGTTCGGTTGGTGGGTACACTTATGCCAGATTGTGTTGGGCCTGTTGCCAAGGGGCTCGGCTGCTTGAAGGTGTATTGGTGTACCTACCACCTGTGTTGGTTTCAGGGTTCATATACTTTCTATTTGAATTATACACACCTGTTAACCATGGACTGCTTCTGGCTAGATTACCTCTTGTGTAATCAATGGTGCTAGTGAAGCTGTTTGTGTGTGCATGTGTGCCAGCTAGTTCGGTTGGTGGGTACACTTATGCCAGATTGTGTTGGGCCTGTTGCCAAGGGGCTCGGCTGCTTGAAGGTGTATTGGTGTACCTACCACCTGTGTTGGTTTCAGGGTTCATATACTTTCTATTTGAATTATACACACCTGTTAACCATGGACTGCTTCTGGCTAGATTACCTCTTGTGTAATCAATGGTGCTAGTGAAGCTTATATCAGATCCACTCTGATTTAGCCACCCACTCTAGTACCAAGTATTACCTTCACCGGGGGCAGGGGTAACTGCAGTTGAATCCCGGGACGGATACCCTGATGCCGTCAATCCTTTTTCTGCACCTTGTCCTCACCCACTTACTGAGGTGCGGTGAGCCCATAAGTGGGATCATTTCAAGTCCACCCTAGTTTGGGGATTTCAGGGGGTGTCGGCCGCTGGGTGGTTCAATGGCCAATTGAGTCATCTTTCCAAGATTCCTTTTGAGTCTCTCTCCCCTCTACCGGGGAGACCCACGTGACCAGTTTTGGCAGTGAACAAGTACAAGCACAAGTACAAAGTAGTACAAAGTACAAAGTACAAAGTACAGTGCGTGTGTGCCTGCCCACATGTGTGTACCCATGTTTGTACGCTTGTTTGCCTGTGCATGCATGATATTCGAAGGGTCCAGTTTACATTCTTTATACGCGGTATGGCATGCGCTCTATTTCGTTTCTGGAGGCAGGCAGATGGAACTGTCTTCCAGCTGACTGTCGACAGGCCCACTCTCTTGCTCTGATCCTTTACATGGTTTTAAACTTCAATTAGGGTTGCCAGTAAAAAGGCAGTCGCCTGTTGGGACTCCCCTAGTAAAACAATACAAATTATCACATGGCACGTGATTGTTGCCCGTTCTCCAGCGAATCAGCACCTTTCGCGCCGCGGGCAATAATATGCGATATTGCCCGCAAAAAAATAGTTTATTTGCCCGCAAAAAAATAGTTTATTTCAGTGATCGCGTGACTACGACGACTCCGTAGACTTTACTACTAACTACTACATACACAACATCTCAAACCTGGATTTGTGGTCAGCAGGTTGACAACGCTCATCGTTAACATGTCTTGAAATTTCATGTTCGCAGCTGAAATTTTGTCTTCAGACTTTTCCCGTTCGCAGCTTTCCATCAAAATTGGACGAGTGTGAAGATGAATTTCACATTCTGATATGTTCCGTTCTTTCTGTTCACTGTTCACATGACGACGACGACCACCACCACGCCACCGCCATGTAGACTGCCACAGAGTTCTCTCGCACAGCTGTGTTCCGCGGATCAGAGATTCACGGAAGCAGTGCAGCACTGCAACCGTGCTGCAAGCCTGGCTGCAAGCCGTTCCCAGGCTGCTGCGTTTGTAACAAGCTGCCGTATTCGGCACGTACCAGTCCACCATGGTGATCCAAATATGGTTGTGTATGCAATCCAAATGTGGTTGTACATGTATATGCTGCACGAACACAGTTGCTGTATTATTTCCGCTTTTCGCAGCTGATGTTGTTAATCCTGTCTGCGGTGATGCCGAGATCTTTATGATCAGTGGCAGAGCACCGTACCACATCAATCACTACTCTTAGTCTTACCTGCTACCCCCATGCATAGAGTCAGGAACTTTTGCAGAAGATGTGTGGTGTGTCGTCCTCTAGCTGGCAAAATGTGGTCAAAATATTTATCATACACAAATGATTCATAGCCTCTCTCAACCTGTCAACCCCCCCCCCCGCCCTCTCTCAACCTGTCAACCCCCCCCCCCCTCTCTCTTCTTGTCTGTACTTCATGTATATCTATCTGCACGTGTTGTAACATTTAATAATACGTGCAAAACTATGCTTAATGATCTTTCTTGACAATCACCCTTCTGTTTGAAATCCGCTGTCACGCAAAGCGTGCAGGCGGAGGTGCAAGTCAGTGAGGTCTGGCGTGTCAGTTTTTTTACACACGTTACGCACGACTTCCATTTTGAATCATGTCCATCCCCCCCCCCACACACACACTCTTCCAGTCAAGTTCATGTACTGCATTGTAATTACCGTCGCTTGGCCATACTGGGGCACGTACTCACAGAGCCCTCCCCCCCCCCCCCCCCCCCCCACACACACACACGCCATAGAGACAGACATACACTCATACACGTGTATGCACAGACACGCGAGCGCGCCCGCACACACACACACACACCATGTATACGTCCGTCGCAAGAGAAGCATGCTAATCTGCAAATGCACTGGGTATGAGCCCACTCTTATACAGTAGAGTCACGCGCTGAAGAACGTGGAGTCCAAGAACGTCCAGCCTGAAATTCTAAGAACGCCACAGCATAAAGCTAAGAACGGCGGTGTTGGTTTTCCGGCAGCCTGTGGGATACATAATTATGATCCAGTACGGATTGTTTCTAAGAACGTGCTATAAGAACGCAGCCAGATTGCTGAAAAATATGAACGTTCCAGGCTAACCCCCTGGAAACAACGTTCTTGGGCGCGCGACTCTACTGTAGCAACGATAGCGGACAAGATCTGAATCAAGACTAGCGCCAGATAACTGTCTAATCCACATAACTAGTGAAGCCATGTGAATCGACCACCAATGCACACCTGGTCTACACCACACGGAGCGCATCGGAATAGGATGGCCAAGACAGTTACCTATGCACAACATACACTTGCTGGGGTAACAGACACACACACACACACACACACACACACACACACACACACACACACACACACACACACATACATACATACAAACATACCCTTTGCAAGAGAAAGACAGAGAGATTGGATTTACAACCTTAGTTGCTGGGGAAGTTAAAATCCACAAGACAGTGATGGCAAAAATGCTACATTCATTACTGGTCATGCCTGGAGGGAGAGGGAGGGCTTGAGGTAGTGATAGACAGCCTGAAGTAGTGTACTGACAGCATAGCATGTGATGTGTAGAAATAGCATTTGATGCAAGTCATGTGATGTCACAAACTAGCAATGAGCACAGCTGACAGGGTGGCTGTGATGTACAATCGGCTGTTCTAGAAATCACTACGGACAACACAGAGTGTCCAACACATACGCACACACACACACTTGCGCTAGTACGCACACACACATGAACACACACGTGTGTGCGCGTTCGCGCAAACGCAAATAGGCACACATAAATACGCGCGCACACAAAGCGGACGTACGAGCCGTTTTTGAAAACAGGAAAAAAAACTGTGCTTGCGTGCGGTGGTAGCACTTCTCCTAAAATCACATGAAAAAAATCTATTGAAAACAAAGCCAAAACGCATGCAAGTACTACACAGTATGCATACACCTGGGGACAGGGGTGTGACTGTGGCAGTGTGGTGGGTGAGTACTGATACTGCACTGCTCGCATACATGTAAGGACTCAGCTACAAACTATTGTGTTCTTACTAGTGCGCCGCGCGCGTTGATCACCATGATCACTGATCTGGCTCATCTTCGACTTTTTTTTAAATGTGTCGCAAATAATTTCAAACATTTTCCTGATTCAAACAGGCGAGTCCAAGCTCACATCACGCTGGAATAGCAGAGTTGACTGCCGTCAGGTAAGTTGATGCCCTAATCTCCGTGATCTCCACTCCATCAGGACGAGCTGCGCATCCTCTGTGCAAATGTCTGCCCATTCCAGCCGACATCATTCGCGTCCTGGCAATAATATTGGAGGTAGAAGCGATCTGCGGGGATCTTCAATTTCTCCGAAATCAGCGGCGTGAATCCCTCCGTGTACTTTTGGTTCTCCTCCGGGCTGATCTTGCCAATAGAGGAAACATTGACAAAGGCACACGGCTCTCTACTGCCACCTAAGGACATTGGAGTGTCAGCACAGATGATGATACAAATCCATTTCTCCGGTTTGCCAATCAATTTGGAGGCCAACGCAGACAGCTCTTCGATGAAGCCCTCGGGAACTGTCGAGGCTGGGATGTTCGTTTCAATTCGTACTGTAGGCATGATAGACTAGTATTCTCAAAGCAACGTGAGATCAGACAAGAGGCTGATAGCGAAATACCAAAAATGTAAAACAATACTCGCTGTGACTGTGTCAGGATTGTTTGAAAGTCATCAGACTCAAAAAGTTTTCAAAAAGCTCGACTGGATCGAAAGTGGGTTCACCGACTGTTCACCGAACCCCAGTTCACTGAACGGCGAGTCACAGAACGACCTTTCACCGAAAGACTGTCCAAGAAAAGCGGCTTTCCCCATGAAATGGCATGATGTGATGACTTACCATGCTTACTGTCACTGTGATGTTTGATGTTGGTTGCTTATCTCTTTAAAAATATCAGCAAGTTCGCAAAACCCAAGCGGGAGGTTCTTCCCAACAATAAGGTAGGGGAGAGATAAGGACAGCTACAGCCTACAGCCAGGTCATCGTGTATGTGAAATGTGTGCCGTGCATGTGCACGTGTGGAAACTGGAAAGGATAGTCAGGTGGGGTCCATAGCATGGATCAAGACAGTGTCAAAACTGACAAAAGACAAAAGATCGCATCAGCAGCTACTGTTCCAGTTTTGGAACAAGGAATATTATTTAAAAGCATGGGCGGTTACAAAATCATGGAAAGGTGTAACTGTAAGGAATACAACAGGCACAGTTTACCGGATGTATTTTTTGTGTACAACTTCGAAGAGCATCTAACAGAAAAAAGAACTACAAAAAGTGTAAGGGTCACCATGGTCACAAGCACAGTCAAACTTCCATTGGGAACCCACTTCCTAAAGACACTTCACCGGTATACATGTACATGGTATACAGTACTTCACTACATGTATCACCAAGAGGTACTGAAGTACATGGCAGTATGAATTTCGTATTTCAAGGATTACCCAGAGGCAGAGGTTCTAGTCTAAGCCTGTCCAGGGGATCTCCTAGTCCTACTCACAGAACTACATCAGTACATTTAGAAAAGCGATCCTGTCAGCTTTTCTATTATTGTGTTCACATGGCAGAAAAAACGACATCGCTATGCTACGTAAGTTTCTACGTAAGGTGCTCGGTATTTCACTTAGGCTACGTAAGTCTCTACGTAAGGTGCTCGGTATTAGATCTACCAACGCGTGGTAGCCGTGTGCTGTGCACGTGCACGGCAGACATTGTGTTCAGTGCATGCATGCAGTCCGCGGATCCGTGTTCGGATGTGCATGCGCGAGGAACTTCCTTCTTTGGAACTGCTTCTTGCATGAGCTGTTTCGGATATTTCGTCTCCTGGCCTGACTTATTTCGTTTCGGCGCTGCTGAGACCTCCTTTCGCGGAATATTACTCAATGACAGGTGAGTTGACCAGTTCCCTTTGATTCATTTGCTTGTGTTGACTCTTTCATTTACGAAAAGTGTGCTGATTTTGGGCGGAATGCAATAAATAATGGAAAAGCTGACAGGATCTCCTTTCTAAATTTAGCTTTTCCGCTGCCGAGGCCTCCTTTTACGGAATACTCAATGACAGGTGATCTCTGAGTTGACCAGTTTCCTTCGATTCATTTGCTTATGCTCACCCTTTCATTTACGGAAACGTGTGCTGATTTTATTCGGATTTAGATCGATTTTTATCTCGTTGCCCTTGCCTACAGTGTGCGAAGAACGCGAGTTCACCTTCTTGACGGTAAGGCTTATGTTAGATGTGTTGTCGAAATACTCATATTCATTGCACATTAGTACGTTACAAGTAAGGCACTGGTCAGTGGCATACTATCGTTGGCAGTTCCCAATCTGGAGGGAAAGGTTCAAGGACTCATTGACCGAGTTTGCCAAATAAATTCGCATATCAGGGAAAATCTCCATTGTGGAGAGGTTCAGTAACTTGTTTGCTTCATACGAAACAAGCCAATGGGTGCAGTCTCGTCTCATGAAAATCTCGCACTTGTAGGATTGGATTTGTTTACTCGAGTCTGGGCTGTTTGATTTGTGAGTACCGCCGAGATTGCACTGCCCCAAATAAAGTTTCGTGCCGCCAAAGCAAGAATTACGATCTGCAATCTGTTTGTAGTACCTGTAAGAATGTGGAGTACATGTGTCGTACTTTCTCTGTTGCTGTTTCAGTTGCCGTCATGTTGCTAAAGAAAGGTTCAGTAGAGAGGTTCTACAAAACGAAAATTCGAACGAAGTTTCGCGACAGTCCTTGCGAAACGGTGTGTTCGAATTTTTGCACGAACTTTGAGTTCTGCACATTTTCGTAGTTTGCGCGGGCCAAGTGCACGTACGCCATGACCCGATCTCACGAAATTTCCTACGACAGTTCATTTCACGTTCCCTGCAAGTTTCGCTTCCACAGTTGCGAAAGTTCGTGCGAAGTTTCGCACTTCATGATGTAGAGCGAAAGTTTGTACGCATTTTCGTTTTGCAGAACCTCTCTAGTGACTCTTTTGTTTCATACGAGACGAGTCAATGAGTCGGTGTGGCTTAGAATCTTTCGCTGTAGAAGAAATCTATTCGTGTGTCTGTTGGAGAAATAATTGTATTCACTGGTTATAAAATAGGTTAAGACAAACTCACAGCATAAATACCATTGGTCCCTTGGTGTTCGTCCTAAAGAGGTTCAACTGGATATCATTCATACTCACCAAAAGATGTGTAAGCTTTTATTATCATGGAGTGCCTTGTTTATCTCTCAGTATCAGTACCTCCAACCATAGCCTTGACCCTGTTAGATAATCACGACCGCCCCAACTCACTCCCGGACACGCACTCACAACAACGTCCACAACGAGTTCTTTGGCGAACAGTGTTCATATAATTATTGGAGAAGAAGCAGAGAATGTGGGAGAGCGAAAAACACAAGTTTGTTCCACGGCCAACTCTAAACTAACTGGAACTGATGTAGTTCTTCGTTGTACGCACTGTACGCATGAGAGCACGCCAGTTGCATGCCAGCGCGCAAGCGAGCAATGAACATGAAACGGACACCAGAAGTAAAAGGATCTGGCGGTGACACAAAGTCAAAGGGAATGTATTACATGTCGGGAGACCATCAATGAGCCATGGTAGCCGGCGGGTGCAACAAGGAATGTAAGATAGAAGTTAGAGCAACGAATACCATGCATACTCTCACAACCCTTTTATCCTCAGGATCAGTGTAGTTGTTGGAACGAGGTGTCGGACTCAACAATGTATTTGTTTACATTTTAATACATGTTTATTGTTCCTCCTTTGCTGTGTTGTTTCAGAAAATCGAGGACTAACAGTTTGAAGTCATTGAACTACTTCCAAAAGTTGTATTGACATCAACAGGATAACGATTTCAGTGCAATATGATGCTGGATGACCTTATCACGATAACCCATGATTATAAACCATTATAAACACAGAATCAACAAAAACATCTGCGACACGCACCTGGCGCATGGCTACATTTCTCAAATAAATCTGATAGAGGGTGGGGAAATCTGAAATATCTGAAAGGCAAGACAAATAATATTATTTATGACAGAGTCATGAAATTCTGCAACAGCAACATGCACAGAATGACCTGCGTCTAAAAAAGTATAACCACCACTACTCACATGTTCCCCCACAGAACATGCATTATGCTAGTGCAATTTTCTGCAAGAAAAGGCTTGCATATCAATGCGTATAATACGGTATTGATATGATCAAGAGTACATAAATCTCTTGATATGATGTGAAGGCCATCATTTACATATTGATATACATGTAGGCAAGAGTACATGTACTCTTGATGTAGGGCATTCCATTGATTGGTGACAGAAAAAACAAAAGAAATTATAGCAATAAAAACTGCTTTATGGCAGTTTTCTAAAAAAAGTTATTGTGTTCTAGTCCATGGACCCCGTCTAAAAAGTAAGAAATTACCGAAATGTGATAGCTGAAAATTAAAATTTCACACAAAACCTCACAATAATCACACACAGAATTAAAAGCTACATGTAGAAGACCTTTTCCACTCGTGATCCTCTTTCCTATGCATGCATGTTGCCAATTGTTGGTGCAGTATAAGTTGAAGTTGAAAGCAGCAATTCAAGTGTTGTGATTATTGTGAGGTTTTGTGTGAAATTTTAATTTTCAGCTATCACATTTCGGTAATTTCTTACTTTTTAGACGGGGTCCATGGACTAGAACACAATAACTTTTTTTAGAAAACTGCCATAAAGCAGTTTTTATTGCTATAATGTAACATGGTATTGACGGCCTCCCACCAACGTGTGTGTGTGTGTGTGTGTGTGTGTGTGTGTGTGTGTGTGTGTGTGTGTGTGTATGTGTGGCAGAGGCATGTCTGTCGACCATGCATTGACATGCCCTACAGGGGGCTACCCAAGTCTGTGACACAATGAGCTGCGTGATGTGCTGGTGGAGGTGATGACTTCGCTTTTGTCGTTGGTTGGTGAACAACTTCACGGCGCTGCCGCTAATCATGCTGCAGAGGCTCGCTTGGATATCCGTGCAAGGGGCTTTTGGTCGCCATAGGAAGATGCATTCTTAGATGTGAGGGTTACTCACCCCTAGGCGTCTTTGCTGTCGCGACAGGGATTGTTTGAACACATTTCCAGGAATGAAGATCACAACAAGCCGGCCTATCCTCAGCGTGTCGTCGATGCGAGAGGGGGTCATTTACTACGCTCGTATTATCGACAAACGGCATATGTGGCACGGAATGCTCTCGTGCATTGAAGAACATTGTTCAGCTGATGGTTAACAACCATAGTGACCTCCGGTACGCTGTAGTGATGGCGCAGCTACCCTGCAGGTGGTCAATCACGTGCCTCCGTGGTTGCAGGGCGTCACACTTGTGCGAAGGGAATTGGCCCATCATGTCTCGACCGAGGTCACCATTTTATCAATGTAGCCGCCTTCATTATTCATATGTTGGCCTATTTCATAATTATTATATTCCGCCTGGCTTGGTACAATAACTTTTTCTTTTTTCTTCATTAATGGCTTTTTCTTTTACCTCGAATGGTTCTTTACACTCTGTAAGTCTGTATCACAATTTGTGGGTT